TTTGTTTGCTCCTTGGACAAGGTATTTATCATCCCTGGGAATGAGTGTCAGTATCACCATCAGTGGGAAAAGTCAGTGTGATACCCAAACTCTCTACGCTCCCATTGCCTTGTTGTCATTGCCTTCTACCCCCAATCTTGGGTGCAATATTAGGCCAGACCAACAATGACGTGAAAGCTATTTAGAACATTGAAGAACCAAGGTGATCAGATAATAGAAAATTAGCTGGATATAGGTGGTCTGGGAAATGAGAATGTCTTCTTTTGTGCTATAAGGGAGTACTTTGGTATTCACCAGGCCATGTTCTAGACAAGGGTAAAAATAACCCTAGTCCTAAGTCAGGAATAGGACTCTAGTTCTAAGTTCTGATTTTATCTTCTCTGTTAATCCTGCCAAATCTGGAAGAACACAGTATGGTACATGACACTGACTTGAGAGAATACGGAAACATGATGTGGGCCAAAGACCCTGGTAAAAATCTCAGTTATAAAGTCCCTGATTGGCCCTGATCTTTGGCCAGGCCTAGGGACCCAACCTGTGCATGAATTTTATGCACTGGGCCTCTAGTTTTAGGATGAAATGTTACAGAACAATAGATAACTACCATTGGCCCTTGAACAATATGGATAGATTGCATGGGTCCACTTATATGTAGATTTTAAAAAATAAAATAAGAGATTTGCAATAATTAAAAAAATTAGCAAATTAAATAGACATAAAATACAGAAAATTTAAGAGAAAGTTAGCTATGCCACGAATGCATAAAATATATGTAGATACTAGTCTATTTTATCATTTATTTCCACAAAATATACAAGTCTATTATAAAAAGTTAAAATTTATCAAAACTATACACGGAGCTATTTGTAGTCAAGAGGAATGTAAACAAACAAAGATGTAGTATTAAATCATAATTGTATAATATTAACTACAGCACATAATGTAATACTATAATAATCCTTTACCTATCAACTGTTTCATCAATTATACTAAGCTTCCATAAGGCAATCATATTGCTGCTTCTTTGTTACCAATGCGTGAATTGTCATACCTGTCAATAAATATGAATTTCTTTTTCACATTACCTTTCCCTTTTTGACATATAGTGTAATACATATAATATCTTTAGTGTTTTGTATCATATAAGACAATATTGATGTAGGTACTGACGATTGATTCATCTTGTAAACAGAAAATCTAGACTTACAGTATCAATAATACAGTAATGTAAATGTATTTTCTCTTTTGTATGTTTTAATTAATATTTTATTTTCTCTAGATTACTTTATTGTAACAATACAGTCTATAATGCATACAACATACAAAATATGTGTTAATGTTTTATCAGTAAGGTTTTGGGTCAACAGTAGGCTATTAGTAGTTAAGTTTTAGGGGTGTCAGACATGATAGACATATTTTTGACTGTGCATGGTGTCAGTGCATGACCCCTGCACTGTTTAAAGGTTCCCTGTACCACAGACTGCAATATCTGGGGTATAAAATATTCTGTTTAAAAGCTGACAAATCAGCCCTACCTGGTTTGGCTCAATGGATAAGAGCATCAAACTGTGGATCAAAAGGTCCCCAGTTCGATTCCGTCAAGGGCATGTATCTCAGATGCAGGCTCCTCCCTGGCCCAGGCCCTGGTCCTGGAACATGCATGAGGCAACCAATGGATGTGTTTCTCTCGCATTGATATTTCTCTCTGTCTTTCCCTCCCTCTTTTATTTTCTCTAAAAATCAATGGAAAAATATCATCAGATGAGAATTAAAAAAAAAAAATTTATATTTTAGTGTTCTCAGAAATTAAGCAAACAAACTCATTTACCATTTCATATAGTCATATAAACCTAAGTTTTTTTCTGTAAGCCAAGGACATACCTATTGGGGGAAAACATATGAATGATTTTGGCTACAAAATCAACTTTATATAATTTTATGGTTTTAACTAACATTTAGCATTTTCAATTTCTTTTTTATTTTACTTTCTTTATCAGAGCCCCCGTTTCAGCTTCAATGAAACCCAGACCGGATGGGAGAAAGAAAAGTGCCTTTGAAAGTGAAGATAACCTCCTTTAATTTGTAACAGAGCAGCTTAAAGATGGTTTAAGTTGGAGATAATGGCTTATATGAATTGTGTGTAATGCTGCATTAACTTGTTGTCATTATCATTATTAAAACCGTAGCTAAACTTTCACCCTGACCTATATGGGGCACATCAGCTCTATCAAAGACATCATCAGTGCCTTCCAGCAAGAGATCCAAAACGTTCAAAGCAGTTGTTCTCATCAATATATGAAAACTAGGTTGTACTACATCATCTCATAACTATGCAATGTAGAAAATTAGAAGATGCAGCTAACCTTATTTTCCAAATTAAACTTCAACAGATATAAATCAACATTGATGTTAAAAAAATAAAGCAAAAAATATAAGAGAAATTCATCAAAAGGTATTAATTCAAAATTTTGTTTCATCCCTGACCCCATTTTACTGCAATGGAAAATGAAAAAGCTGGTTTCTCCTCATTTTTTTCATCCAGGATAAAATGATAAAATCAACACTTCCAGTGTTGGCAGCCAGCAGCATTTAAGAGGAGAGGAGAAAGGTCATATCTGGACAGATCTTCCACTTGTTTCTGAGTGCTTGTACTGCCTCTCCCGGTGCTCCTTCCCCTTCTGAAAATACGACTAATAACTGAATTTATAAAACTCTGCACTGTAAGCAAGGCTGTGAGGGCTTTCCATTCAGTGAGGTTGAGGTTTGGAGTTAATGAGAAGTGAGACTGTGGGGAATGAATAGAAACATGCCAATGTTAAAAGTAATTGAGCATGAATATCAAACACTGACTTGGGAACAGTGTCCCATTGCTGATGGGAAAGTCTGATCAGCTGGTGGGTAGATAGGATATGCACTGAGCTACACTCACTGCCCTGATCGCTGGGATTCCTATCAGAACAGTCTATACTAGTTTATAAACCCGATAACATGGCTTCCTCACTCTGAATCATATTTTTCTTCTCTTTCTCTACTCTCTCACTCCCATCTTTTTTTTTTCCTTCTTTTTGATTTTATCTCATCCATCCTCAAGCCTTATAAAGAATGTAAAGTTTTACTATTTCAGTAACTGCTGTTTCTTTTAAAAAATATGTGTAAATTTCTAATGCCAGTTCAGAATAACATAGATGACAGTATTGTGGCTAGAATTGCTGACACTATAATTTTTATTTTTAAAACTCTGCATTGTCCTCTAAAGCCAGTGAAAGCTCGAATAACTGATCGCTATAATTCTTCTATGTGTCTTCCATCATTCTCAATTAGATCATTTGCATGTTCTTTACCAGCAAGGATCTCTAGAAGACTTTCACAATAGCATTAACAATATGAACACCGTAAGCTGTATGTTATTGTTAATTTCAAGTTGTAATGAATAGTTTTATTTAAAACTAGTGGCCCGGTGCATAAAATTCATGCACATTAAAAGGGGATTAATTAGAGGAAATAATTTGATATTGCTATTTGCCCTTTCTCTATAATAGAAGTGTCAGAGATGAAAGAAAATTAATAAAATGTATATGAAAACCTCCCTGTCAGAATCTGGGGCATATCATGGGACCCAGAGTCAAGTCCCCACCTACCCACATGCACCTCAAAATCACGAGAGACCCAGCTGGCCTCAGCCCCCATTGGGCTAGATCCAGACCTGGTCAGTCCCAACCCTGTCAAGCCCCACTGGTCAGGGGATGTAGCCTCAGGTCCCCTGGCCTGGCACTAGGACAAAGGGCATGGCCTGAGGTCCCCCAGACCAGACTGGGGTAAGGGATATGCCTTGAGATCCCTCACCAAGCTCTGCCAGGTGGGGGACATGGCCTGAAATCCCCTGTCAAGCCCCACTGGTGAGGGGCATGGCCTGAGTCCCCTGTCAAACCTCGCCAGGCAGGGGTAGGTGGTGCAGCCTCAGGTCCCCTGGCCCAGCACCAGGAGGCGGGCACAGCCTCAGGTCCCTGTCAAGCCCCACCCGCAAGGGGCACTGATTGAGTTCTCCCGACCCAGCACTGGGGGTGCACACTGAGGTCCCCTGTCAAGCCCCACTGAGTGGGAAGCATGGCCTGAGGTCCCCTGTAAAGCCTGGCCATGCACGGGGGTGCAGCCTCAGGTCCCCTGACTCGGTGCTGGGGTGGGGAATGTGCCTGAGGCCCCCCAGCCTGAAGCCAGGGCAGGGGGCGCAGCTGGAGGTCCCCTGTCAAGCCCTATGGGGGTGAGGTAGGGTGTAGCCTCAGGTCCCTGCTGAATGCTCATTAAGGTTCCTTATGGGAACTTGGCTTTAGCTGTGGGTGCAGCATATCTGTGACAGAGTGATGGCCAATTAGCATATTCCCTCTTTATTAGACAGGATAGGCTAACAATAGTTTCAACAAACTTAACAATAGTTTCACAAAACTAAAATATTTTCAATAAACTAAATATAACAGGTTTATTCAGAACAGGGTAATAATATTTTAAAAAAACTAAATATTAAAGAAAAAACTGTGGCTCTATAATTATGCATTTTTATAAAAACTCATTTACAATGATACTTTTATTAGTTTACAAGGTAAAAAATTGATACAAATGTAAATCAATTGGGAATTGGTTAAATAACATATAATTCATTCATGAAATAATATTAAAAATGATTTGTGAAAAATAGATAGCAACTAATGAGGATGAAGGCAATGATAGTACATTATTAAATTAGCCCATAAACTATAAATGTATTTTAAAAATATGTACTTAAAGTACTAAACATTAATGCTTACCTGGTGGTGACTAAATTTCTAAACTTGTATTTCTACTTGCTGTTCTCTAAATTCCCATTTGAATATATATCATAATTGATACAATTAAAAAAACAAAAAACAATTAGTTCCTCAATACCTACACATACACAAAGGAAACCAGGAAAAACATAGGAAAAGCAATCATATGAGAAATATTTTAAATACAGAATAATGTCTTACCTTAACTGTGTAGTATTCTTTAACTTCAGGCCTAATAGAATCAAAGTCTCCACTGATGAAATCAGGCAAAAACCTGAAAGAAAAAGTTCTGAGTCAACTAATTAAGACTAATTACTTGTTAATCTTTAAAACTATGATTATAAGGACCAAAAAAAAAAAAAAAAAAAAAAAAAAAGGGAGTCTATTTTTAAGTGAATGGGATATCCAAGATGTCAAATTTCACTCTTGGTTACGATATAGTATGACTGGAGCACTTCACATAACCAAATAATTAATCAACTCAATTACACTATCAAGTCAGTATTTTACCATGCTTCAATAAATAAAGATTAAAGAAGATTATTACTTTAAAAAATTTCCAGGTCAACAACCCTGAAACAAATACTCAATCTTTGCATATTACCTTCTACATATATTCAAACCTTTACAGTATTATACCCTCTCAGAGGTTCAGAACTCTCCACAAATTCAAACACAGCATATGAAGAGAAGGCATTCTTTGGGGAGCAGTAGTCAGGTCAAAGACAGTTTCCATATAACCTACTGACGTATTTCTAGAAACAGGAATCTTTGAGATAGGTTTGAAATACTACAAAGGTCAGTGTCACTAAATAGCGGGAGAGGAATCACAAAAGTGGATGTTTCTAATTCTACCACAATTATCTTATTCCTCTTTGATAAAATACTATTTATAGTTTTTCAGAACTTATTTTAGAGATCTTACCTTACTCTATCTACATAAACCATCCTTTATTTTTATATATGTATATATATAACATCTGTATGACCTGGTAGACTTTGTTCGCACTTAGAACATCAACTATAGAAAGAAAGAAAAAAAACAAAACAAAAAAACTTCCCTGGATTTCTTAGTGCTCTGCAAAAAGCCCTAGCCTCAAGAAGGTATATGACATAAGGAAGGGACTGTTTGCTTCCAAGTCTTCCAGAAATATTCTATTTTACACCTATCATGAGAATTAGATCTATAACCATTTACCTAGTTAATTGTTCCAATTCAAAAGAAGAATAAAACTTCAATATATATTCTCAAGAGGGCCAAACTGTTACATAATGAAGACAGGTACTTTATCTCTCTTCGTATTACATGTCAAACAGATAAAGGCCCAAAACTTGGAGACATCTCTAGGTCATAAAAGACAAGATACAGGAGACTATACAGCTCCTGGAGAGATATTTTACTGATGATGAATATGAAAAACTCCATACTAACATTGTCCTTTTGCATAATATTTAACTTCCTAATTCAATTGGAAATATTACTTCTTAGGTCTAACCAGAGATTTTTCAACCTGTGTGTCATCAAATGTTTAGAACATGCAATAGCTGACTATTTAGTCAGGGGCACTGAGCCGTTATTCCTTAGACTGACAAGTAAAAACATAACAGAAATAATAACCAACATCAATAGTTGATCCTCTGGTATGAATGAATAAAAATTTTACCTATATTTTTTTCAGATCGGCAAAAATATAACATTTTTTGATGTTCCAGTAATTAGTTTATTTGTGCTATGAAATGGAAAAGGTTGAAAATTGCTGGTCTAACCTAATCTAACTACCTATGTTGGACCAACTCTTCCTTAAACTGTGTCTTCCTAGGACTAAATGGTAAGAGGAAGTTCTACTTCTTAGATCTGTGTTGCATAAGCTGCTTCCTTTTTCTTCTGTTTGTTTGTCTTTTTGTTAAACCATAACGGCTGCTTATTTCAATTTTTAGTAATTAATAACATTTTTATATTAGATGATTTCAGATGATTTGCTTGAACGTCAATCATGCACAAATAACAACAGTTCATTTCAGAATAAGGCAGAGTTGGGAAATAAAGTACCTAGGTTTTTAAATCACCTTGCCTGATTTCAACAATTTCTCATAAACTTTTCTTCTCAAAGTGTCTGCATGGCCAGTACCCAATTTAATTCTTCATATGAGGCAGACATTTTAACTTAGGACTCTGGTTCTATGAAGCTGAATTATACTACTTCCTAATAAGACTTTATATGGCTCTACGAACTTTAGTACCTCAGATATCTAGAATCCATTTGGCAGTTTCCAAATATGATATTGATTTTGACAATAAAAATGAAAAATAAAAACTGACATATACAGGCAGCTAAATGACCTCTTAGGAAATATCATTTAAGAGAGAACAAGATCCCTTTTTAATGTATACTATGAATAACAAAATAAGGCAATCATGTATAAATTCATTATGTTTTCAAATAAAACATTAACAGGAAAATTATATAGATAAAAGATAACTTTGAATAACTTTTAATATAATTTTATCTAATATAACATAAAGGTTTTAAAAAGGAATTCAGGATACTAAATTCTAAGAAGACTCATGCCCCAAATACACCTAGTATATAAGACTAAAATTGTTAATGCCTTTTCATCATATAATATACTAGTTTTTGATACTTCCTGAAATGTATTTTCAGACACCGCACTTGACAGCCCATCTCACATTTCCTGGAGGCACCTGGTGCCACTGGAACCTGGGCGTTCTGAAGAAGTAAGTATTGGGGATGACACTTCACAGATGCAGAGGACAAAAAGTTTCTAAACTTGTATTTCTACTTCACATTATGACAAAAAAGACAATTTACACGGGAAGATTATTTTTCAAAACTCTTTGAGAACTCTAATTTTGGAAAGATATCTCTGAGGCTGAAGAAAAATGTTTATGCTTAAGGATAGGATTTTGATGAAAAGAATTTTATTAAAGAACTATGTCAATACTTCTGGAAGTGCTAGCCATACAATTAAGACAAGTAGAAGAAATAAAAAGTAACCAAATTGAAAAAATAAAGACGCAAAACTGTCATTATTCACAGATGACATGATACTGTACATAGAAAACCCTAAAGACTCCATCAAAAAAATTATTAGACTTAATAAATGAATTCAGTAATGTAGCAGGATACAAAATTAACACCAATAGTGAACTTACAAAAACAGAGGTAAAAAAAAAAATCCCGTTTACCATTGCATCAAAAAATTTAAGATACCTAAGAATAAACTTAACTAAGGAGGTAAAAGACCTGTACTCGGAAAACGACAGGACACTGAAAAAAGAGATAAAGGGATAGAGGAAAACATAAACAGATGGAAGAACATACCATGTTCATGGAATGGTAGAATCAACATCATTAAAATGCCCATATTCCTCAAAGCAATCCTATACATTCAATGCATTCTCCATTAAAATACCAATGGCATATTTCACAGACCTAGAACAAACTCTCCAAAAATTCATCTGGAATAAAAAAAGATCCCGAATAGCCCCAGCAATCCTGAGAAAGAAGAACAAAGTAGGAGGGATCTCAATACCAGATATCAAGCTATATTACAAGCCACTGTTCTCAAAACTGCCTGGTACTGGTACAAGACCAGACATATAGACCAATGGAATAGAATGGAGAACCCAGAAACCGCCTAAACCACTATATTCAATTAATATTTGACAAAGGAGGCACGAACATACAATGGAGTCAAGACAGTCTCTTCAATAAATGGTGTTGGGAAAATTGGACAGATACATGCAAAAAAAAAAAAAAAAGAAAGAAACTAGACCACAACTTACACCATAAAGAAAAAAGAAACACACCTAAAAATGGAAAAGGACTTAAACATAAGATGGAAAACCATAAAAACATTAGAGAAATCTATAGGCAGCAAAATCTGAGACAATGACCATGTTCAGGAAATGAAAAGAAGAAAGATAGGAAGACATGAGAGGTAAAGAAACGGTCTTAAGGGAGAGCACTGTACAACACAAAAGTCACTTCATAACTTCTGAGATCACAGCTACCCTTTGCTGTAATTAATTATTTTCCAAAAGTGGTTGAGGGAGAGAGAAAAGGAATGAGAGAGACTGTATGACTGGACACCTAGCTATGCAGTTATTTTCTTAGAAGGAGGCAGTGATGGTGCAGGTGAGAGTGGTGTCAGAAAAGGCTATGGATATTGAGGAGAATTGCGCTAAGCAAATCAGAGTGAAACATTTAATCTTTTTTTTAAATTTATCTTTGTTGTTGAAAATATTACAGATGTCTCTTTTTTCCTCATTGACCCCCTCAGCCCTGCATTTGCCCCTTCATCTTTTCTTATTTACAAACACGAAAAAGACCCAAAGCATATACACAGATTTTTCACCTTAACAAATATAAAAAAGACTAGCTCACTGTTAGTGATTTGCTCCATGTAATTTATTTGCTTTATGCTTCCCTCTGTGATTCAGTGGAAATATGATACACAGAATTCAGTAAGACAGATAAATGCCAGTAGGGTCACTAATAGGCTGTTGCTCCTCCCAAGTTGTCCAAAGCCACGCATAAAGAGTTGCATAGCTAATAAGTCTGCTAGTAGTGTTTTTAATCCTTCTTCCCCCTACTCTCCCACAACTTCTCTCATAGTAGGAACTAAACTTTCCCTAAGAAAATAACAATAAAGTAATTTCTTAATGTGTATGCTGTTCTGCCAAAGCCAGTATTGTATTTTCTATCCTTGCTAGTTTCCGTTTTTATCTTGCTGCTTTTATCCACTATGTTTGAATGTGTGAACCATTATCTTAACAGACAGGGACTGGAGGCTGGAAGGATCTCTACAGTACTTAATAATTTCTGTTTCATAGGAAAATAATTCAATCAAATGATAATGGCTTAAGGACAGATCACCTTAAAATCATAAAATCATTAGATGATGAATCATTAATAAACGTAAAAGGCATAATAGAGAAAATATTTCCATGAAATACAAAGGGTAACTATTTTTGTTCAAGTAGAGATGACATGAATAGCTTATTCAAATAGTAATAAAGGAAAAATCAAATAGACAAAATGTATCACATGAAAGAGAAATTTAAACATCTTTATATATTTCTCTAATAGTCATATCTATGTGTATATAGCTTTTACATTTTCAATCTCCAAAGACCACATATTGCCATAGTGTTAAATCTAATAGTCATTTCTCCCCTGTTATTTTATCATCAGAAGCAGTTAGCACAATTGGCCATTCTCTATTTCTTGATTCTCCTTCAATTGATCT